AGGCTTGTTCACTATGCCATCGTCTGAGCTCAGCATCCCAACTATTGGACTGACCCATCGTGTCCTGGATAGTGTCACTGAAACTCTGGGAAACATGCTCCAGAGAGTGCACTTTTCAGACTGTATTCGGGATGTGCAAAATGTTATGAAGAGGATTCATCAAATATTTCCTCATGATGGACTGGAGGAGCAATGGAATCCTTCAGCCCCAGCCTGCTGGAGACCATCACTGACCTCACTGTAGAAGAGATCTGTGCTCTCTTCCCTCCTGAACCCAAGGAGCATGAAAACCCCAGCACCTGGAGTCTGCTGCCCCTGCTCTTCCTCCTCCTGAGGACATCATCCAAGAAGCCTTGGAGGAACCAACAGTCCTCACCCTCAATGTAACTTCAGACCTGCTCAGAGAGACTGTCCTCCCTGAGGTAGTGTTCTCTGAAGAACTGTGTGATCCACAGTCTGAGAAGCTCACTCCTGCCAAACCCCCTGCTCCTGAGAATATCCCAGTACCAGAGCTCGAGGAGATCCCAGAACTCGAGGAGATCCCAAAGACTTGAGGAGATCCCAGAACTCAAGACTCTTCCAAGATTTGAGCATATTTTCTGTACTCCCTGTACTTGAGACCCTCCCAGGACTCGAGCAGATCCCTGGACTCAAGACCCTTCCAAGATTCGAGAAGATTCCTGGACTCGAGACCCCCTAAGGAATCAAGCAGATCCCTGGACTCGAGATCCTCCCAGGAATCAGAAAGATCCCTGTAATCAAGATCCTCCCAGAACTTGATACACTCACTGGACTAGAGCAGATCTCTGGACTCAAGACCTTCCCAGGTCTCGAACAAATTACTAATTTATTATTTAATTATCGCGTTAATTGCGATTAATTAATTACAGTCATATTTAGCGTGTTATGTTTTTTAATCGCGTTAATCTCATTTTTAATCTCTAACTTTACTGTTTCTGTATGCGAGTTGCTTTATTATAAAACCTGTTTTTATGTGTTGTTGGGACAACAACACACACACACAAAACATTTATAATTTTTTTTATTTTGGTAATTCCACTCATTGCCGGAAACCCACACAGAACGCGCACAGTAAGAGCGATGTAAACGTCATGTTAACGTTGGCAGCGTCAATCGCAAAATGGACGAGGTCGAAGAGCCAGTAGAACAGAGTCAGCAGTGCACAGGTAAAAACGCATTCGTGTCTTGGAAATTATTCTCCCGACGTGAAATATAAAAGAAAATAAAAAATATAAAATCGCCTACAACTTAAATGTCACTGGTGAAAACAACCTGCATAGGCTCATTTTGTCTGCACTACTGTCCTATAGTGACCTGTGACACGAGGGGACACGCACACAAACACACACAAACACAAACACACACAAACACAAACACACACCTTAATCATCGTCATCAACCTGAAAACGCGCGGACCATGTTTCCTTCCGTACTTACTGCGCGGACACCACTGTCCTCCCGCGCGCCGCGTACGTTTTCTCGCGTACGCTGCGTAAACCGCGCTTCCTCCTGTGCGCCTCTAAACCAGAACTAACACCAAGACTAAAACCGGGACTAACCCAGTCCAGGACTAAACCAGGACTAAACCAGGACTAAACCAGAACTAAAGCCAGAACTAAAACTAGGTCTAAACCAGGACTAAACCAGGACTAAACCAGAACTAAAACCAGGTCTAAACCAGGACTAAACCAGGACTAAACCAGAACTAAAACCAGAACTAAAACCAGGTCAAAACCAGGTCTAAACCAGGACTAAACCAGGACTAAACCAGAACTAAAACCAGGTCTAAACCAGGTCTAAACCAGGACTAAACTAGGACTAAACCAGAACTAAAACCAGAACTAAAACCAGGCCTAAACCAGAACTAATACCAGGACTAAAACCAGGACTAACCCATTCCAGGACTAAACTAGGACTAAAGTAGGACTAAAGCAGATCTAAACCAGGACTAAAACCAGTGATCTCATATATAAAGCATTTCTCTATCAATAATATTTTTAATATGGTTAAGGAAAGACTGGACTTTTTATTGTCTTTAAGTAGACAAAAGTTATTATGTTCAGATTTCCTCGTCTTTGCTACTTTACAGCAAACAGTTTCTTATTCATGGAGACTTGGGCTCAACAGCCAATTTGAAGAGAACAAACAAGAACAACATTTGCAGGATGCGGTTGCTACATTCATGTAGTTTTAAAAAGCATGACAATATCAAGTAATCCAACTACATTTTGGGATATGTAATCTGTAATCTGTAGCGGAATACATTTTAAAAGTAACCTTCCCAACACTGCAGATTAGTAACAGTAATAATAATGATGATACTGTGGAGTGTAAGTGACTGCATCTGTTAAACGTTTGTTAAACAATAAATGACTTTATAAAGTCACTTTTTTTTGTTCCTATATCAGTCTTTTGATCTGCCACAATAATGTAATAATGAATTTAAATGAAAATACCTCAAATTGAAGGATTTTCTCAGCAGGTGAGGTTGAGATTAAAAAGAGATTAATTTGATTAATTAATTACAGATCATAATTAATTAATCTCTCATATATATATATATATATATATATATATATAAAGCATATAACACTATGTTCCGAACTAGGGTTGAACTTTCTATTTCCATGGTCACCCAGGTGACGTGATGACACTAAAAAGTTGCATAGCATTGCTTTAATTAAATACAGTCAAAATAAAGATGAAAACCATATGTATATATACATCTTCTGAGCGAGAGTAAATTACCTTTTTGCTCAATTGAGAAATAAAAAGACATTTTCAGTTTTATGGTTACATTTTATCCTTTGAATGATAACAGGTTTAAAGCAACAGAAATAACACTCGGGGGAAATTAAAAGATGCTAGTCCATCAAAATCTATTCTGATCCCTGTGTCTTTGGGATGATGAGCTCTGAGTGTGGATGTCCGCCAATCAAGGACATCAAGATGCTGTCTAATTGGTCAACAGAGGTGTTGCCCATCACGCTTACAAATGAAGGCTTCCCTCTTCAGTGCACTGTAGTTGTTGTATATCACCAATTACCTGCCGCTGGTATTGTCAGCGGGACTTCTGAGATGAAACGCCTCTTATACGTGTTGCTGACTTGACATAATTGTCCTCCCTGGGCTTTAAATATGGGCAAGTCCACTATAATATACTTCTGCCTACACTGACAGGTTTACATTGCTGCCACGCCACCATTTCACATATTATATTGTTTTACATGCTTATCACATAGAGCATGCATCCGATGTATTTGAGCTAAATTTGTCTTTCCCCAGTACAGATGCATTGTATAAGAAGCTCTTGAGGTAAAAATAAAGCAGTTGTTTTCTGTCAGTATCATAGACTTTAGGCCTATATATAAAATGGACATAGCCAACCTGCTAGAAAGTGAACATGGGTGCGCTTCTGGTTCCCTTGACTCTGTTTCGAATTGACTTCACAATTGGAAACCCCTCTCTCTGTAACTGCTGCAGTAACCTGCTCTGCAAGATCCTGGTGTTTTCATTTCGCCACTTTGTCTGCTAATAAATTCCTATTCCAAATATGGACCTGGCTCCAAATTTGCTCCTGTAATTGCTAGCATTGTGAGCTTCACTTGACTGGAGCTGAAAAGTCACATTCCTTTAGTCCACTTCTTTATAATTAGATACAGACCATAGACTAAAGTGTTTTATTTTCCGATAGTCTGAAAGTGTGCTGCTAGCATGCTAATTGTTGCCAAGTTTACTGTCACCGTAAACACCATCCTCATCTCCAAAAGTTCAGAGACATTTATAAACTCATCATGGGGAATAATTAAGATGCTCAGAATGTATACGGTATAAGGTTTTAAGAACATAAAAATCAGATACAACTTAAATTAAAGTTGCAAAATCTTGGCTTTCAACTGTTTCCAATAGCTGGTCTATGGATGTACAAGGTTAACCTTTACTAACTTACTAACACATTGAACAACTCTGATTTGATTTTGTAAAGGGATGCTGTATCTTTTCAGCCATATTTTACTAGAATATGCTTTTTATGAACTCCCAACAAACCAATGGACTATGTCTTTTGAATCAACATATGACTATTTGTGAAACTTCATCCTTCCTTTTTATACCACAGACAGATGAGTCTTTTTGCAAACACACAGAGGATAGTTCTATAGGGTGTGCTGCTGAATAGATGGAGGAGCCTCCGAGGGCCCTCCAGCTTCCCACACAGCCCTGAGCGTTCCTTGTGTGCATGGCTACAGTACAATATTGACATGCAGCAGATGTCGTTGAACTTGTGTCTGTATAAAGTTCACTCAGCAACAGAAATTGCTCTGAAGTTTTTATGATGTTTACCTGTAATAAAAGGGACTTTCTCTGGGAGCTACAGTTTATGTCTGGAGCAGTTTTTCAGTGATAAAAGCAGAGCGTTTTGTGACTCAAACAAAATGACAAAACATAAATTTCCTCTCTCTTCTCACTCACTTGGGGCATACATCTGCACATTTCAATTAAAATGACCAATACACCACATTTAGCATTCAGAGACAGGGCTTTATAATGATAATTTTCAGGTAAAATCTTTTTCCTCTATGCAGAAAAGGAGACAGATTATGCTAAATAGATTTCATTTGAGCTTTTAACCATGTTGTACCAAAAAAATATTTTAATTGATTCATGCACATTTGAGTAATTCTGTATTGTACCTGCTCAGAATATATCTACTTTCCCCTACCTCCTATCTCCTCCCACATTTCTGCACTGGGTTGAGATTATTCAAGGAAAAAAAAATGTCTCACAGTCAAACACACAAATAAAGGTGAAATGCCACTACAAAAGGTTGGGGGATCTCATTTCTGAACAGGAATTCAATAGTCCTATTTCTATTACTAAGACATTTAGAGCAGTATTATGATTAACACTGAACAAACTGTAAAATTTATGTTATAACTACTAGAAAAGTATAATGTCTTTTTTAATATATGCTTACTCACCTAAGGAGCCCTCTGTTGGCAGCAGCATGTCCCATAGGCAGACCACCAGCACCATGACAAGAACAGCCCCTCTGCTTCTGCTCTGAGCGTACCTCTCACTCATCCTGCATGAAAAACAAGAAAAAAATAATTATTACAACATTAATTTATTTCCCCATTGGACAGCTCTTGGTACATACTGCAGAGGAGCTGGCATCCCCTTCTTTGGACTAAATGTCCCTTCACAAACTAATAGCTGGGCTCATTTCACTGTGTATTTATCTAGAATTAGACAGCCTTATCTTGTCCCTACACAAAACAAACTACAGCTGCGTCGGTGTAAAAGATCTTTATCTCCAAATCCTGTCTACTCACAACCGCCTCTTGCTCACTAAATGTAATGCGGAAAAAGAGCACTGACATCCACAGGTCTGCCAGATAAAGTTTTCTCTATGTAGGCCTGTCACGATAACAAATTTTGAAGTGTGGTATATTGCTGAAGTAAACATAGATGACAAACAATAATATTAAAAGAATTACCCCCAAAAAACAATTCTAAAATGCAACACTTAAATAGTTTCTCAAATCAATCTCAAATCTTATCTTAATCTCTGTAGGACAGAAAAATAACACAATTTTACTACTAGTGGAAGTTTGAAGTCATTGAAATGATTGAAGCAGCATGTCAGACAATAGTACAAATATTATAGCCAAAAATATCACAGTGTACAATAACCAAGAGCTGTAATATATACTCTGATTGTAGGATTAATATACGTACATTCTCTGTTATTTCTATTATCAAAGCTGTGTTTAACAGGTTGACAAGAATTTCCTGTAGCATTCATTCAAAAGGAGTTTAAGCAGTAAGCACAATCACATTTTGAAGGGCCATAATTTCTTCCAAAAACAAGAAAATATCCTGTTTTATTCTGTATATTCTAAGTAAGTATTTCACACAAATTTCTAAGGTCTGATAAAGCTTCAGATGATGAAATTTTGATAAAGAATTGTTCTGAATTTTGTTCAGCAGAAACAATTGAATCTATCTTTTAATTCTAGCTGTTTTGATTTGTTTATTTGTTGTTCTGTTTTTGTCTGCTCAGATTATGAACCTTTTCAGTGGGTCTCAAACAATAGGTTTACTTTCAAGTCCAGTTCAAATACGTAGTGGAGTAGAAAGCAAAGATACCTAGTAAAACGTAAAAAGTATCCACAGAGACTTACGTACGGCATTTTACTACTTTTACTTCGTTACGTTACACTACTACCACCCAAGTAATACCATGAATATTATTTAAACACTGCCATTTCAAATCATACATTTTGCAGTGACCCAACACATGCCAATGGCAGACAGAGATACAGTATGTTGAGCTACTATCAGATAATGCATTTCTGTAGCAGTCAGTTAAGGCACTAACTGCTGCTGTTAGCTGATCAGCCTCTGCCCTGCCTCTCTCTAATGAAGTGTAAGCCCGGACCACACTCCTTGATCCACCCGACCCACTGCGAGCCTCTCCACTGACAGACAATGATCACATTTCAAACAGGGCTGCAGTTCGGTAATTACTGGAACAGACTTGGTATCGTGTGGCATCACAGTACAGTGTTACAAGCTGCGTTTTCTCCTTAGTTACCACCTCCTACATCTCATCCGCTCCCCCCATTGATATATAGATTGTCTGATCCTCTGTGGAGTTCTCATATTATTTGTGTAATTAAGTTTATTTTGGCAAGCCCAACATGACCTTTTGTGTAGATTATTTTATAGCCTCCATGTGTGGCACAGCACCAGCAACATAAACATAACAGTGTCCTCTGTAAGATCCTCTCTCATAAATCCAAGTCAAACACACACTGAACCTGCAAATATTCACACACGACCTGAATTATGTTGGACATGTGAAGATAGATTTAACTCACTGAGAAATGAATGGTTACACAGATTAATGTGATTATTCCCCTGCAGCCAAATCACGGGAAAAAAACAAGACTTAGGAAAAAAGGACATAAATATTTGCAATGTGCATCAACTGTAAGACTTTATAAGCAGAAACATTTTAGATGTTTAGATGATTAAATTTAGTAGATTTCAAATGTTATTTTTTATTTTTTTTTTTTTTTTACACTTCTTTAAACTTCCTTTAACTTTTCTGGTGGAGGATACATCAACTACTTGCTTTGCCTAGAATGATCTGCAGCATGGGTTGAACTTGACTGTATTCATGTAGCACCACAAGGACAAGTTACAGAGTAGATCTGTGGAGAGGCTATCCCACAGTAAGAATGCATGCTTTTTGAGCAATAAAATATCTGTACTGAAAAAAAAAAAAAAAACCTAAATGGATAGGTTTAATGTCAGAGATAAGCAGATGACCACTACAAAAGTTACATAGTGGCACCTTTAATGTATTAAGATCACTGATTTTCCTTGCAGTGCTTTTCAGCTGCACTGGAGTTTGTAAAGAAATAACATTTACGTGAAATCCGCAGTCTCATCCAAATGCAAATTGCAAAATAATACACTTTAGGAATGCCAAATGACCACACTCATCCAAATGCGTATAGGCTACTGCAGGATTGAAACGCTAGGTGCAACTGTATATGGTCCTGTTCCAAGATACAGCCCAGTCACTTTCACTCAAACAGATTTACAGTTTGTGGTTTGGACAGAACTGCTGTCTGTGTTTATAATGGTGGATGTAGTAGTAAAAAGTTTCCTTCTAGTTTGCAGCTATGTGTGAAAAAGGGTCAATGGTGAAGTGCAGTCCATTGCTGCTACACTGTTTCTCTATGGGTGTCTAAAAGTGCACTCCTGTAAATGACTGCTTGTGTCCCTGAGTGTGCCCAGTTATAACTGCTGCAGAAACAGACATTTGAGATTTGTTACAGTTTGAAGAGGTTTTATGTTTTTGACCTTGGTGCTGGAGTTTACCTGTAAAAAACACGTTGTTTCCTGATCTACTGTGTGCGTTTATTTTTAGCACATCTTTGATTTTATGTCCATTTCAGAACCGTAGGAAAGGTTACAGACATTACAGAGTGTTGTTGAGTTTTGGGAACTTGGGGAGCAGACTGTACTTAGTTGGGTCATGGTGGATTTGTGGTTTATTTACTTGGTATGACTGTTTCAATAGACAAGTTTATGACGCAGCATGTGGGAGCTGTGAGCAGAAATGCCCCTCTCAGCTCTGAGAAAACATATTTTTAGAAGGGATCTTGGAAGGAAAGAGCATTGGATTAGACCTGTACTTTACCAATATAAACTTGAACAAATGTTGCAGTTTTCTTTATTTACTGGTCGTACTTCGCCCAGAAAGTCCGATGATGTCTTCTAATGTCTTCTAGTCTTCTAATATAAAGTTGTTCTGTAGTTCCTTGAGAGATAAATACAAGCTACATAACAAATTTTGTCATAGAATATTTTTGTCTACAGAAAAATAAAGTCTATTTTTAGTCCCTGCACTGGTATCGGTTGATATTGGGTACCAATTTTTCAGAATCAGTGTCAAAACTGAAAAACTGGATTGTACTACTTCAAATTCTCTTCATGCCTATACAAAGTGAAATGGTTCAAATTAAATTCCTTATTCAAAAATGGTGGCTATTCAATGAATGAAATCACTTTTAAAGAGTTGTCCAGTATCACTTGGATCTTAACATTAGATTTCCTGCTCACTGTATCATATTGGTCTGATGTCCATCCATTAAAATTTAGAGGGGTAACTAATGACTAAACAAATGAAGGCTAACTAATGATTACATATTATTATAGTTTCAAACAAGAATGTAAAAAAAATAAATAAATGGCCAAAACCAGATGAGTGATGGTAGTGGTAGAAGGGACTGATGGCACCGATTGGCATGGCAGCTGTGCTTCCGTCAGTCTGCCCCAGGGCAGCCATGGCTACAATAGTAGCTTACCACCACTGGGTATGGAGTGAATGAATAATGCTGAATAATGCTCTGTAAAGCGTCTTTGTGACAAATTTATGTGAAAAGCACTATATAAATAAAAACTTACTTACTGACTTCCTTAATAAAATGTACCCCAAATATATTTCAGTTAAGAAGAGTAGTACCAAAGTACCAAACAACAACAACAACAACAACAAATGTTTCAAGATATTTCCAAAACAGTTATATTTTTCAAATTATCAAGTCTTGATTCAAATTATTGCAAAATACCTTTACTTAAAAAAACTAAAATACTCACACTCTATCCTTAATTGGTGATATGCCATGATTACAACAATAATGAAATCTAATTTTACACGCCAATCAAGAATCTTAAGTAGATTACTATTACACAGAGTTGTGAAGATGTTTTGTCTTTTAAAAGTTAGCTCAGTCTGTCAGTTTAGAAGCATGCTGTGACTGAATATTCCTAATGCGTTTTCTTTTCTCAACAGGTCATGTATTATGTATGGATATTGTCACAGAACAGACCTTGAAGTGCAACTCTTAATATATGCTAATGATTGCCATAAGCACAAAATACAAGACGCAGAACAGAGCAGATGGGTAAACAAATACTAATAATCTAAAGCTTCAATGAGATGTTTAATTATCTGCAGACAGTTGGGCATCTCCATCTCTTTTTCTGGCAGCAGTGAGACTCCTATCTCTTTGGTTCTTTGAGCTGCACTCAAGAAACTTTCAAATGCAAATGAACACCTTTTTGAGGAATAATGCATATTTCTTTGACTGGTGCCACCTCAGAAGTTCTCCCAGGGTTTTATGTGAGAATGAATTTCATTCCCTTTGTTATCAACTGGCTCTGTTGTTGGACGTATAAGTCTGTAGTGAAGAAGAACAGATTTCTGACTACAACTGTAGAAAAGTGGATTTGTCTCAAACTGAATGAAATCAGAAATGCCCATCACTGACCTCATGAGAAGTACGAATACTGACTCTATTATGATCATCAATGTAATACTGTTCTGTCCCTCTCATAGTATAAGCTTCCACTTAAATAGATGACTGATATGTGAATTTCTTGGATAAATACTTTGCACTTCTGCTGAGTAATAATAGTAATTATGCTATTCTTATGTGTATAATATTTTTAATACTCTCAATTCTCTCTGCTAAGAACCCCGCTGAAATGAAGAAGATGCA